AAAATTGACTTCGTGTCTCCTAAATGCTGTGCTCACTCATGGAAGGAGGCATGGGGTGCGGCTCCTAATGTAACCTTCCCGTGTGGGGTCCTGACTCCTGAAGAGCTGCTTTCTCTCCCACCGGAATATCACGATTTGGCTGAAGTGTTTGGGGAAGTGGAAGCTGACGAACTACCCCCCCACCACAACTCTGACTGTAGCATTGAGTTTTTGCCGGGCTGTAAGCTTCCCAAAGGGAAAATATATGCCATGGGACCCGCAGAAAAAGCGGAACTGCGGAAGTTCATTGACAAAAACTTGGCGAGAGGTTTTATCCGCCCGGCTTCCTCCCCCTTTGCAGCCCCGGTTTTGTTCCGGAAGAAGAAGGATGATGGTCTTCGCTTATGTACTGATTATCGTGGCATTCCCTCACTCCTGTAGTTGTTATTCTTTTCATGTTAGGCATCTGTAACTGCCAAGGTTCTCCAGCTGGTGTGATGGGGTATTGTGTCTTTATGCTCTGGCTTGTTTAGGTTTCCCGTGTGAACTCAACTTGTGTTTATGGAACTGGCCGTTGCTGTTCTCAGGCCGCTTCGCGCCTTTTCTAATCTGTAACCTAACGAGGGAAATGAGCTCATTGGTTTAAACCTTGTTTGAAGTTCCTTTAATACACCTTCCCTGGGTATTGTAGTTATTCCTAACAATCTCTGTATGTTCATGATCAACCATGCTTTGGAAATAAATCTTGCTTCTTTTTGAACGTGGATCTATTCTCCTGATTTGGGATCTAACAGACAGCAGAGATCTGTCTCCCTGGAGAAAATGGCCACTTTGGAGGGTGGACTCTGTGGCATTAGACCCAGCTGAGGCCTCTCCCTCTCCCTTCCCCAAACACAGCCCTCCTCCTTAGACTCCACCACAGTTCCTCTAGGAATCCCCCAGCCTGGCACTGGCAACCCTTGTCAGGCCTGGCCCCAAGGCTCCCTCCTTCCCTCAAAGGCCAAAATAGGCCTGGAAAGGGCCCCTCCCCCTTACTGAAAGAGCCAGTTAGAAGCCCCCCCCCCCAATCCAAATTTCTCACCATTGATGCCTGGAGTGATTGGCCCCTGCAGAGGCCATTTCAAAAGGTATGGGGGGGGGGGATTCAACCCTCCCCAAGTTTTTCTTTGTTTTTTAGTTTTTTGGATTTTTCTGCAAACCTAGAGAGTGCCCTGAGTCTGTAGAAAAAGCTGTTGGGGGACGGTCAGGCTTCTGTTGGCAGAAATAAGTATCTGCACCCAAAACAGACTTTGGCTATTCGATTGATAGATAATCACTATGACACACTGTGGATTTAAAGCAAAGACAGGCCATTCGATCTCATGTCCACACAACAGATCTCCAAAACAGTAGGCATGTTAGGATACATTCTGTAAAAAAATGATACAAGACTTGATCTCCAAGGTGTGAGTTGTATTATTAACTTGGTAGCCAGCAGCCTACTTCACTGTGCGGGGTCCACACAAGACAGACTCTTGCAACCCTGCATGCATGCACACCTCAACTACGATCATGACCAGGGGCAAGCGCACCTGCCCTATAATCATTGACAAATCATCTGAGGTTCTCATACCAGCAAGAAGCAATTTGTTTCATTTCACCCCAAAAGCCAGCCTTTGGGCTTGTTCTCCAATTCTGTTAGCAATACAACTACCTTAACACACACAATCTGAACAGTGTGGTTTCTTAAAACATCACAGAAGACTCCTAGCCTTGTCCCAAACGTCACTTACCTGTTCCATGTTGATTTCAAAGGGACCAGCAGACTGACACTCAGGGCAGGATCCAGGCTTCACTTCCTGGTTCTGAGACTGACAGAAAGGCCCCAGGATGAAGCTGCACTTAGTACAATTGTATTTGACCAAGCTGAGCTGGGGGAGGACCCCTGTGCAGCTTGTTACAACCCCACCCGTCCGGATCAGCTGGTTCAAATGTAGCTGCCTGTAACAAAAGGCAAGAGCAAAGTTAGGGTAGGAAAAGCCTCTAATATGAGAGAAAAGTGATTACAGTGGTCCCTGTGTTATCATGGCATATATGACGGGCAGAATGTTACTGGAACAGGCACAATGCCCTAGAAATATCTGATTTGGGGTGCTTAAGGGATTGCAGCACTTTTCTTATGAGGCAAAGCTACAGAATCTTACCGCTAAAACAATGGAGGGAGGATAATATTAATAAAACGGGAAAATATTAAACAAATTTAATATACAAGACATTGTGCCGCCTCAAAATCTACTTCACTCCTCTTTCCTCTCAATTTTTTTTCAAGTGCTGCCACTAAACAATCGGGCAAGTGGCTAACAAGCCTGGTTTAAGAGCCTTGGTCACAGATGCAAGGATAACAGGATTAACTGTACACCTGTACCTTTAAGGCCAAAACAAAGATTTATTGGAGAGAGCAGGTCGGTACAACCAGGGCTATTTTTGGGCAGGAACGGAGTTCCTGCTGGCTCCCGAGTTGGCCATGCCCAGCAGGAACTCATTAGTATAATAGGCCACACCCAACAGCAGAAACTCATTAGGACTGGCTACATTAGGGGTGTGTGGCCTAACATGCAAAGGGTTCCTGCTACAAAAAAAAGCCCCTGGGTTTTGACAACAAACAAGGTAAACAGAATAAGAAGCAAAAGGTGAATGTGGCTGGATGACCACCCTTCTGGTAATGTGGGGTGTGGCGTAATAGGCTAATGAGCTGCTGTCAGGGGTGTGGCCTAATATGCTGATGTTTTTCTGCTGTTGGGTGTGGCCTGTTATGCTGTGCTTTTTCTACAAAAAACCCCCTGGGTACAACAGAATGATTCAGGAAGGTGTTTTTATAAAGAGAAGAGGACTGTAGCCTATGCTCACTGTTTATGGTATCCATCATGTGTTTATTGTATGTATTACCCTGCTCTTACTACATTGTTGTCTACTTTTGTAATTCCATTTTCTGTATTCCTTTGACATAAAATGGCTGATTTTTTTTTCATTTCTGAACCCTAATCCTAGTCCTATTCTGCTGTTTATTAGATGTCTCCAAATATTAGGTTACACAATATAAATAAATGAAGTCTGCCTTGAACCTCAGTGAGAAAGGCAGACGACAAATTCAATAACATAATAAACCTGGACCCTAAGTTTAAGAGGGTTGCCTCTGAGAAGGCTGAGAGACTGAACTAATTTTATAGCTTTCCGTTACAGAAGTTTTCCATTCAAGTAGTTTTTCTGGAGAGGCGGCAAATCAATATTCTCAATACGTGAACACGCTCAAATTGCTGCCCGTTTCCTAAACAGATTACTGAGATTAAGCTGGCAGAAACATGTGCTGCAGTGTTTTGCCGAAGAGTTTGTCTTCCCTGAAACCAGGCTGACTCCTCACCTGAGTGACCGCAACTCCTCCACCAGAGGTAAGTGGGAAATGCGAACGTGGATTTCCTGAGCAATCCGGTCATATTTGGGGTACATGGCCAACACCACTTCCTTGGCAGCTTCATCAAAGATCTTCAGCATTTCAGCTGGGGCCTCAGGAAGAAAATAGGCGAGGACGTGTTCACGGGCAGCCAAGTCTTCATAATTCACCACCAGGCTCTCCCTGTTCTCTGTCAGGAGAGAGTGAGGTGAGCTTCCGACATAACACCCCAGCCACTCCATTAAAAATAAAGAGCCAGGCACTGAAGGAACTGCTCCACCTGTTAAATAATGCTGTGGCCTCCCAAGCAACACTGATGCTGATTGTTTTATTACCCCATAAAATGTACCGCATATGCTATTCTCTAACAACAGCACCAACAATATGAAACATTCTGAATATGATCTGAAACGGCCCCCTTGTTGCATAATAATCCTTGAAATAAAACCCTCAAGTAAAAGAAGCAGACATGACATAGTACTATATAATGTGTTGTTGTTAATAGACAATTACCATGCGGGGACCCGCGAGGAATTCTAGGGAAGAGAAAAACCCATTTCCCCCTTACCTCTCTTCCACTCTGCTCCGGACTGCCTCCTCCACCTTTTCCTAGCCACCATTCCCAGGGCACCCACTGAACTTTGCACCAGGTGCCTTGTGGTGCATTGCTACGGGCATCCAAAAATGGTAAGCTGGACTACAGCTGCTTTGTTAAACTCCAACCTAGGTAGGTGTCACTGACAAGATTCCCTCCCCCCAAATTTTTCTACCAAATTAAGATTTTTCTCCAAACCTGGGGTTTTCCCTGGGTTTGCAGAGCCTGCAACCACAGTACTGGGTGGTTCACTATGCAGATTTTACTACCTGCATGGGAACCCGTCCTTGAGAATTAGATATCATGATGGTTAAGCAGTACAAATGACCATAAGAAAAACCTATATGGCCCATTAAAGTCTTCTTTATGATGCTTGTAATGATTAGGTAAAGATGACTATGAGATGCGTTATAGCTGTGACTAATTAGAAAGTACTTTTAGTATAGCAGCAATAATAATTATGGAGTTACCCACAGGGAATTATTCTACGAAGAACATGGTTCCTAAATAAATCATCCATATGGCAGCCATGGAAGAAGAGAAGTTGTATACTGAACAACCACAGCAGAATGATAGACCGAAGGAGATGGCAAGCTCTGATACCTCCTCCAAGGGCTCTTTTTGTAGCAGGAACTCCTTTGCATATTAGGCCACACACCCCTGATGTAGCCCATCCTCCAAGAGCTTACAGTAGCCCCTGCAAGAAGAGCTCTGTAAGCTCTTGGAGGATTGGCTACATTAGGGGTGTGGCCTAATATGCAAAGGAGTTCCTGCTACAAAAAGGGCCCTGCAAATGTTAGTTCTGCTAAAGGGATTTCTGACTGCAGGAAGCCTGTTTTTATCCCCCCAATGAGAAGGCTGGAAAGTATGAGTTTCAACAGCAGGCAAAAACATTGAGGAAGAAGTCTTCTACATAGACAGCAATTGGGCAAAGTAGCCTACATGTCCCACCCCCCATCATCCTACTCCCCCTTCTCATGCAGCTGTACCTTTGCACATGTCACTGATCCTCTCCTTGAAGACATTGTGGCCGTGGTCATCCACATGTGTCTTCAGGAAGTTCTTGAAGCGGTGGTAGATTTCAAGTCGAGGGGCTGCCATAGACACCCACTCCCTCACAGAGTGCCCCTTCATGTCTTCCAGGTTCTCAATGCTCTCAATCATGTCTTCATCCTCATCCTCTATGCCATCAGCTGCTCGTTCAGCCATGCGCCTCTTCCGCGAAGGGCGATCCTCATCTTCATCATCAATGTCTGGATGAGGGGAGGGGACGGATCAGACTAGGATGTAGATGTTATGTTTTATTTTTGTGTGAGTAATTGTGTATGTGTGCACACCTGGAAGTCATGATTGACTTCTGGAGACCCCTAGTGGGGCTTGGATGTTTCAGAGAGGTGGCTTGCTATTGCCTGCCTCTGTATCCCAGCCCTGGTATTCCTTGGAGGTCTCCCTTCCAAGTACTTGCCAGGGTTAGCCCTGCTTAGCTTCCGAATCCTGATGAGATGGGGCTTGCCTGGGCTATCCAGGTCAGGGTACTAGAACGTAGACATTGTCTGTAATTCCAACGACAGCAGGCCAAGTGCATAAACAAGATTATCTGTACATACTCCCAGAAAACACGGTCTCATGCCTATACTCCAGCTCTCCTTCCCTTATAGTCAGAGGGGATGTCTTGTAGGTCACTTGGGCCAGTCTCAAACTCAAGTGCAGAAAATCCAGAGCATTCCTGACCAGATAGCTGTCTAGCCTCTGCCTGAGAACCACCACAAAGGGAAAGTAAGTCCTACCCACCGGGTAACTGGTTCCATTGTCAATCTACCCTTACCATCAGGATATTTCTCTTAACTGTTGAGCCCTACCCTCCTGAGTCTTGCCCCTCTGGAGCAGCAAAGACCAAGTCCTTGTCATTTTCTATGTGACGGCCTTTCAGGGTGTGATCATGTTCCTCCCCCCACCCCAGTCTTCTCTTCTTACTCATCTCATCAAGACATCTGCTGTGAACAGCTCTGGGGATCCAGTCTCTGTGGCTTCAAACTTGAGATGAGTTCACATCCTAATCTGAGACTGAAAGCCATACCTTGCAGGCTCAGTTACAACTGTGAAGCGAAACATGCCAGAGTAAACCATTGGTTGTGGGGAAATGCAATGAGTGGGTCTTTAAGAAGTGGACTGTGTGGACGCAGCAAGCTTCAAAGACATACCGTAAAGCAGACCAGGCCGCATGCGGCCCAGGCCACGGTCCATTTCGCGGTCCCTCTGCCTCATTGCCTGCTCTGCTGCTTCCCTTTGACTGGCGGTCAGTTCCTCTATGTCTTCATCATCCATGGCTAAGCCCTCACGTTCATAGAAATCCAACTCTGGAATATGGCGGTAGTCCCTAGAAAACCACAAATCTCAATCAGTCAGCTGTATGGCACTATCAGATGCTCTGGAAACTTGGCATCAATGGAAGAGAGCCCACACTTATTGTGTTACATGCCACTGTTCTCCATTCAGGATCATCTCTAAAAGCAGTTTGGGTGCTGCCATCTCTGTTCCATGTTAGAAATCTGATGTACGGCATTGCAGAAGTTGTACATTTGCTACTTATCACCTGCTATTCAAAATGCTGACATACATAAGAGAAAGTCCCCTCACCGTAAAATCAACGCCCAGGCCAAACTGCTGGACCTAGAGACACCAAATTCGGGCAGAGCGCTCCTACCGTGGCGTAGGTGCTTGCTAAGAAGGGATTTTTAGAAATTTGACCCCTAAGTGGGTCAAAAGGGGGGAAATGTGCTCCCCCCATTGATTCCTATGCGGCTGCCAGGCAGCTGCCTCTCTGCACCCCTCACTCTCTGATTGGTCAGCTGCAGAGCTCAGTGTTCTGAGGTAAAAAAACAAACAAACAACAGTTACAGGGGACTGCACAGAGCTAATAACAGTTGAGGAAATCAGGAGTGGCCAAGAACCACCTGTGAGGTGAAGCAAAGCTGCTGGCCCAGCATTGGCTTCCAACACACTCCCCCCCCTCCTACACCTAACAGGCGGTTGTCTGTCAGGTGCAGCAGCGGTTGCAGGGTGCTTAAAGCCATGAGGGAGCCTACCCCAGCAGTAACACCTTAGTGATCCTGCTAGCCCTGCCTCCACAGTGGCTTCTAATACTCCTCCTTCCTCCCCATCCTACACTGGACAGGCAGCTGCCTGTCAGGTGTAGGAGAGGAGGTGGGATGCTTACAGCTGCCGGGGAGGTTTGCTCAGCAGGATTGCCTTAGCACTGCTGCTGGCCCAGCCTCCCCGATGCCTTTAAATACAATTCCCCCCCCAACACCAGACAGGCCGGTGTCTGTCAGGTGTAGAAGCAGGGCCAGGGTATGAATGTTTATGGGGAGATAGTAAAGGACATTTCTAGGAGCCATTTCGATGTGTGCCTCCCTCCCTCATAAACCTGAAGAAATGTCCACCACATCACCACTCCCTCACACCAACTCCCCCTCACACCTCTCACCTCTTACTGCCCCCAAGAAAAGCTCCTGGCAAAGCCAGATACACCAACGCCACGAGGAAGAGGCAACTTAGGAATGCGGCAAAGACATTTGCACATAGTACTCCTGCAGTGCACTGAGCTGCACAGGATCACCCTGAGGTGCTCAGAACAACGCAGTCTCCATGAGCAAAACAATCCAGGAACACAAGTAGAGAGGCCATCACTTTTGTGGAAGGTAGGAGTTGACTTAACAGACGACTGCTTCTTAAATGGACAGTTCTATGTGGTCTGCTCCAGAGTGAGCTCATCAAGCAGCCTGGTGATCCTAGCACCTGAGGGCAGAACCACCAATGTGGTCTAGAGACAGGTCCTTCAGTAGAGGGGGAAAAAAGTATGTATGTCTCACTTTATTTCTTACACTCAGGAATATTTAATATAAAGAATGTTAACTTTCTACCATGAAGAGGCTCGGTTTTATGAGTGCATGTGTGTTCCCACACTGGAGCCAAGAAAACAGCTCACCTCTTTTTTGTTTGTAACAGACAGAATATGCTGTGAGATTCAGCCACATCACACATTGTTATGGACACAGCTTCTTTGGATACGTCACAGTCCCTGCTGCAGGGTATTCCAGGGACAACTCCCAAGTGCTTTCTTTCACTTTGTCTTTCTCTTTCATGCATGTGTACTCACACTCAGCAAGGGACTCTGACACGGAAAAGATCTGACCCTTCCAGCAAAACACATAACTTCTGTGATCTTTCGATCACCCTCTCCACTGGCCAGGGAGAGCAGTGAGGAGAATGAATTTGGATTGTGACAGTTCCAGGACTCTGCTTAGGATCTCTAAATAGGATCTTTAAGAATGGGAACAGCTGCCCAATTTCGTTGGATGCTGATATGGGCCATCCCTTCCAGAGAATCCTTCTCCGGTCCATTAAAAGCAATAAGTATTTGCAACAGCCTGTACTGCTCAAAGAGTCAGTTCTGAAGACAGACAGGCTGCTTGTTCCACCTCCAGCTCCTGTGTGCAAAAAAGCCCAAATGCACAGGCTCACATCATGCTGCTGCCTCTCAGTTTTCATTGACTGTATGATTTAAACCTATATGGCTTGAATTTTCCATATGTTAAAGAGACATACACTAATGTCTAACAGGAGCAGCAAGTGTTGTGGGGAGAGTGGATCGCAGGATCCCACTTCCACACAGGCAGCCAGCAAGCTTGTCAAAACCATGCCCCAGAGCATCAGTGTGCTCTTTTGACTGCTGGGTGGGTATGTAGGACATAAGGAGGAAGGTCCTATAACTAACATTAAACACTTATTAACATAGCACCTTCAAGGTACGGTATGGCAACAAAATCTAAACTTAATAAATCAAGTAAGCTAAGTTTTATGGTAATTCTAAAAAGTAACCTCACCGACAGAAGAGGAATGCAAAAGGCACAGGCTTCTAGAGATCAGCAACTGAAAGTACCTTTCCACTTGTGCAGATGCCTCTCCGTGCCCATCAAACTGTCTGGATGCATCTTCTGATGGGAATGAAAATGCCTATCTGCACTCAGGACCATCTCATCTTACATGTGGATAATGGCCCATGGACTGGATCAGAGCTAGTACTTCCTAAATCTCTTTTGCAGGGAAACACCCCTGGAAGAGGAGAACTTCAACCATTCTTGTCCTTTCAGCAATAAGTCCTGGTGAAACTGTCATCACTTCTCTGCCTATCTGTTTCTGCTTGCTGTGTCCACTCCATCCACAAGATCCAACTTCAACCATAATATTTCAACTTCCAAAATAAACCCAAGCTGCTCAGTTATGGAGAACTTTGCCAAATGAAGAGCGCTTGCACCCTGGCAGCCCACAGCTTCTAGGCTAAACCCTGTTTCCAGTAATCAAATATACCAAGCCATCACTCATATAGGTAGCCTCCAGACAAGACTTGTAAGCACAAGCACCCCTCCTACCGTTCCATCCCATCTACAATCAGCTCCTCCCCATCATCATCTTCCTCATCAGGGAGGCCTTCAGTCCCCAGAAGTCCTTCAGATTCATCCTCAAAGGGCGGCAGGTCTCTCCCCGGGCTGGAGGTGAGGGCATCCCCCCGCCGAGAACTGCGTGCAGGGCTGGTGGCCATGTTGAGCGACTCGGAAGAATCCTGAAGAAACACACAGTGACAAGTTAAAAAGCTACAGTGGGCGAGGGCAGGCATCCTGTGAGTAGAGATGCAGAAAACAAGGTGATTTTCAAAACCACAAGCATACAGAGTCTATTAAAAACACTCCAAAAAAATAATAATCAGGAAAACGTACTCTGTCAACCACCGCCATCACCTTTTATCCCTAGAAATTCAAAAAAACTGTGCTGGAAGGGAAGAAGTACCCTAAAAGAGGAAGGAAAGTTAATATATTCCACAAACAACCTATCAAATGTAGGGAGGCTTGTTGAAAAGAAGGTGCTATTTCTGTGATCTAGAACAACAAGAAAATTTCCCATCCATATTCCAGAAGGGCTCCCCAACAAGTGGGGTTGCCAGCTCTGGGCTGGGAAATACCTGGAGGTTTTGGGGGTGGAGCCTGGGAGGGGACCTCAGCGGGGCATAATGCCACAGAGTCCGCCTACCAAAGCAGCCCTTTTCTCCAGGGGGATTGATCTTGGGTTGCCTGGAGATCAATTGGAATAGCAGATATCCAGGTGCCACCTGGAGGCTGGCACCCCCACAAACAAGTAAAACTGTAGCTGCTTTCTTGGGATGCAGATTTTCTTTTTTAAAGGCAGAAAATCAGCAGCCTAACTCTCACGGGAGGTATTTATTTACTTCGTTTATAGCTCATCTTTCTCACCTAGGCTCAAGGCGGATTACGAAAAAAGGCCTGTTACAAGTAAACCCGTGGCTGGGCTGGCTGCCCTGCTTTAAGAGAATCAAAAAGGTAAAGGTTTCCCTTGCTCGAAAGCCAATCGCGTCCAACTCTAGGGTTGCGGTGCTCATCTCCGTTTCAAAGCCGAAGAGCCAGTGGTGTCCGAAGAAGTTTCCGTGGTCATGTGGCCGGGGCATGACTAAACACCGAGGCGCACGGAACGCTGTTACCTTCCCACCAAAGTGGTCCCTATTTATCTACTTGCAATTTCTTGCTTTCGAACTGCTAGGTTGGCAGGAGCTGGAACTAGAGACGGGAGCTCACTCCGTCATGCAGCACTCAGGTCTCGAACTGCTGAACTACCGACCTTCCACAGCCTTCAGTTCAGCGTCTTAACCACTTGAGCCACCGCAGCTCCAACTAGGCCCAAATCTCCATTGCGCCATGAGGTTCACTAGGTAGGGCACACTGGGCCTGTCAGTGTCCGTTTCAAGTACCTCCCACAGGGTGGTTGTTAAGGATGAAATGGAGTGAGTGAGTTTCGGTGTACGCTGCCTTAAGCTCCTTGGAGGAAAAGGGAGACAGAAAAGTCCTCAGTGACTGTTCCCCTCCAAAATACAGGAGGCTCACATGCCTGAGAGCAAGCCCCACGAAGAACACGCACACTCCAATGGACGGGAAGAGAGGGGCCCCCAACACACTAGTCTTCTGTGCTAGGCCACCACCCCCTGTATAGATACAGGGGGTGGTGGCAGTGGCTAGGCTCCTGGGAGGTTGGTTTTTTTTAGCGTAGCGGAGGTCCTGTGAGCTCCCTCTGCTGTCTGAAATCGAACAGGCGAGAATCCGTGCCGTTAAACAAAAGGGGAACTCCCCCACCCCAACTCCGAGGGAAGATTTTAAGATGCTGGATCCGCCTGTTACTATCAAACCCCTCCGTACTAGAAAGCTCTCCCCCCCCACCCCCCGCGGAAGGCTGCAGATCCCAGAGCACCCAGCTGAGGAATGAAGGGGGGGGGGGTTGTTTGTTTTTTAATGAACAACCCAATAGTCAGGCGAATGCCTGGCGCACAAAAAACTTGGCGGAAAGCGGGCTCGGTGGGGAGAGGATACATCCAAGCCAGAAAAAGGGAAACTCAACACAAACCTCGACTCCCTAGCAGCAGAATAAAGCCAACTGCTACAGACACTTACCGCCATCTCTGCAGCAATCCGCACAATTCTTTTCTACTACAGCCGCAGCAGTCCGGATTCCGCGCGAAATAAAATCACGTGGCTAAAAAGCCCGCGAAAGCTCATGAATAATGACCCAGCAACTACTGAATATGCAGATAAGGCGGAACCTCTTCTGGGAACGAATAGTGGAGAACGCGTTCATGAATATTAACCGCTCATGAAGGAGGGCAGCACCGTGACGTTGTCCGGATGGAAGGTCAATAAGCATTATACAAGCTCGAAAAGAAAAAGAGAGCACTAATGTAAAGATTAGCAAATCGGGGGATGTGCGGCCCGATCCTATGCATGTTTAGCAGATACTCTTAGCAGAACAAAGTTCGAGTCCAGTGTCACCTTTAAGACCAACAAAGTTTCACTCATGGTATGAGCTTTCCTGTGCACGCACACTTCCTCAGATACAGCGAAATGGAAGTTAATAGTCCATACATGTAGGCAGAGGGTGAACAGCAAATTAGCATACAACATAATGAAGATGTTTGAACAGATGCAAAGACCAAACAGGAATAACAAGCTAAGTTTATATGGTCACCATTTCTTTGGATTTAATTGTGGGGGAGGACACTGTAAAGCAAAAAAATAATAATTGTCAAAATAGGAGACCAATTTGTAACTGTATCCTTTTTGTGGGATGCTAAGAGTAATCAACTGAGATCCTGTCGTTATGATAATGGTAGTATTTGTAATTGGATTTTTATTTTATTTTTTGCCATCAGGTCTCAACTGATTTATGTTGACCTGTAGGGTTTTGAAGGCATAAGACATTCCGGGTGGTTTGCCACAGTATGCCTCCACATCATGCCCCTGGAAGCTCCATCCACATTCAAGCCAGGACTGATCCTGTTTAGTTTTCTAGATCTGATGAGATCAGGCTGGCCTGGGCCATCCAGGTCAGGGCTTTTTTCCAGAGTAAATATGCATGGTATCGGACTCTAAATTTGCATAGGACTGCATCCTAGGAGTGACAGACAGTTTAGCTCATTGATTTGCATGGAGGTTTTAATGACCCGAACCATGCAAATAATTCAGGTGGGTAGCCATGTTGGTCTGAAGCAGCAGAACAAAGTTTGTGTCCACTGGCACCTTGAAGACCAACGAAGTTTTATTCAAAGGGATGAGCTTTCGTGTGCAAGGCACACTTCTTCAGATACAGTGAAACAGAATTTCCTCAGCCATTACATATAGGAAGGGGGGTGATTAGTTGCCAGGAAGGGATAGTTAAGAGTCAAGATGTATAAAGAAGTGGGCGATTATACCTAAGATCTGTGAGTGGCAGTAAAGTAGCATACAAATACAAGAGTTAACAAACGGATGTGAAAATGAAGTTTGAGTCCCATGGCACCTCCAAGACCAATGAAGTTCAATTCTGGGTATAAGCAAGAAATGAGAGACTTAGCATGTGTAGATGCACACTCCTTCATATACACTGAATTGACAAGTTAGTTTCAGCGTGGGAGGGGGGAAAGCGAACTGGTGGGTGTTCTTGTTTAATCTGGTTCATTTCCTTGAGAAAGACTCTCAGGGTCAAAAATCTCATTGTCTTCTTTCTCCTTATCTCTGCAGCCTGTATCTGATGTTTGGGAGGGAGAGTATGGAAAGCGTTTAATTGAGTCGCTTTACAGAGCTGTGGTGGCTCAAGTGGTTAAGACACTGAACCTCAGGCTGTGGAAGGTCGGTAGTTCAGCAGTTCCAGACCTGGGTGCTGCATGACGGAGTGAGCTCCCATCTCTAGTTCCAGCTCCTGCCAACCTAGCAGTTCGAAAGCAAGAAATTGCAAGTAGATAAATAGGTACCGCTTCAGTGGGAAGGTAACAGCGTTCCGTGCGCCTTGGTGTTTAGTCATGCTGGCCACATGACCACGGAAACGTCTTCGGACAGCGCTGGCTTTTCGGCTTTCAAACGGAGATGAACACCGCAACCCTAGAGTCGGATTCGACTGGCTTTCCAGCAAGGGATACCTTCACCTTTACCTTACTCAACAGTAAGCCCCATTGAGTTCAGTGGATTTACTGCTGAATAACTGCATACAGGACTGCAGCTTCTGGCAGAAAGCTACTGAGGGGCCTAGCTTCTGTGACCTGTCTTTGCCATTCCTGATTGTACCATGTCATGTACAAAACAATAAAAGGACACATCTTTTTCTTTGTCTTTCTCTTTTCTACTGAATTCTCCTTTGAAGTTCTTTTATAGATGATCTTTAGATTACCAGGACAGTACTCTGGAACATTAAAAAGCCCTCCATTGGTTTCTGACTATTACCATTTCAAATGTCAGTGTGTCCATTTATTCTTTTAGATATACTTAAAACTCCAGCCAACAGGAAGAAGAAAGGAGTGGAAGATGATACAAAGAGAGGCTAGTAAAGATCTAGTCAAAAGACTCCCCACAAGTGGGTGGGGACCACTCCCAATTGTTGATAGATGGGCAAGGATTAACCGGATCTAAACAAGGAAACCACGGCTAGATTCGTGTCCAGTAACACTTTAGAGGAGGGGTCCCCTACCTTTTTGACCTTGTGGGTACCTTTGGAATTCTGACACAGCGTGGTGGGCACAGCAACAAAATGTCTGCCATAAAATGGCTGCTGCCAGAGGTGGAGCCAGCTACAAAATGGTTGCCCCAGCTTACCTTCAGTCAGGGAAGATCCTTGGGCTTTGGTGGCAGCTGCCAAAGCAATGTTTTCTATAATCTGCACAGCCAAACTCTAGTGGACAATCAGAAGCCTTGCTGGGCAAAAGCCCTCCCTGCCTCTCCCACGTTCTAAGAACACTTTGGTGGGTACCAGAAAAAGTGTCACTAGGTGCCATGCTGCCCATGGGCACCACATTGGGGACCCTCGCCTTAGAGACGAACAAGATTTTTGGGAGATGAGCTCTCAAGAGTCAAAGCTCCCATCATCAGATATTGGGTGAAACATGATGAGCAGACCCAGTCAGAAAAGTACAGACGGTGTAAAGGTACAGCTGAACTAATATAAAACTGCAATGGGTGAGAAATCTCAAATCCTGGTTCAAATGAGCAATTTCAATAGTACCTCGGTGACATGGAATGTCCAAGACCCATCACAGAAGCTAGTTCCATGTTACTTGGCAGCAGGGGTCATTTTGTAGAAAAAGAGGTGCAGGAGCTTATTAGCATAACTCATTAGCATAACTTATTTGAATATGCCACCCCCTGACATCAGGGTGTGTGTCAGAAGGCAACACCCACCGCTCAGGCACCACTGGACTGTTTTGGATTGCTAGCTATTGGGGGGGGGGGACATGCAGATCTGTCCTCGCAGAGGAGGGAGAGCTTGTACCTGAATAAAACTTGGTCTTAAAGATGCCACTAGACTGTTTTGGACTGGGGGGCCGGGGGGGGGGCTCTGCAACTTACCTGGCTGCTTCTTGCTCTGACTGAGGGCTGCTGGGAGCAGGGGGTGGGACTTGTTGCATGTGCCCACCCCCTGAGCTCTTTACTGCCAGACCTCCGCTCCTGCAGGAAATGACCCCTGCTTGGCAGCAGTAAACCTAATGAATTCAATGAGTTTTAAATATAACTGTACTTGCCTATGGATGTAAACTTTTTGCATCTGATGAAATGAAATGTGAGTCACAAATGTTTTGCTGGAATACATTTTGTTAGACTTTAAGGTGCCACTGGATATTCCCTGTTTAATTTTGTCATGATATCACATTTCTGGTCAATGAACTTCCTGGGCTATTTGTTTGGCAGTTAGTAACTTGCTTGCCTATTTAAATATGCCTTGCTTATGTGTCACAGCACCATAAAATGAAGGAAACAGAAGGGATTGCTAGCCAGCTCCCTCCCCTTTGGTCACATGACAAAGCTGCTCACTGATTCACATTCACATGTCAACTGCTCACCGATAAGCTCACAAGTTCCAGTTTGCAGTGTGATCCACAAGCACACTGTGAGAGCACCACCCACAATGACATATTTGGGAAGTTTTTATCCCACTTTTCTGCCATAAAGGTATTCAAGGTAACTAACAATAATAAGCTAAATCAGCACATCCAGGTAAACGTAAATGTAAAAATGCAGTGATTAAAAAAAGTCTACCAATTGCAGCCAAAAGTAAAATGCTTCCCCCAAGGGAAAGGACAGAAGCAGTCATAATTTCCTGTGACTAACCTATCTGTAAGCCTGTACTGAAAAAAGGGTTAGGGCCTAGGTCTGATTAGTAGACTGCAGACTGGCAGATAGCTGGTGGGTACATAGGCTTGTATGGGGGTGGTGGTGGTGTTACACATCCCTGATCTGGTCTGATCACAATCTACGATTTCCCCATCCCTGGTCACAACTTTCACCCAAAGCTTATACCTTGAATAAAACTTTGTTGGTCTTAAAGGTGCCACTGGACTCAAACTTTGTTCTGAACCACACATACAAAGTCATCTTTGAGTTAATGTGCCTCAGGAATTCCAATATCAAACATTGAATATGTTACAAAAAAGTCCTTGTCAGAAGAAATCAGTTAATACTGTCATTTTGCAGTGAGGAACATAGAGTCTGACAGATGCATTTAAGACATGGTGACCTAAATCAGGAGATTTTGGAGATCTATTATAACCTAGCTCAGGAAGATCAGGCAGACCATCTACCTTTTGCCCATCCTGCTCTAAAAGATATTAACATGAGCCTCAGGCAAACTTGAGGAGGGGCCTATTGCTCATTGATAAGAGCACCCACTTTGCATACAGAAGGTTCCAGGTTCAATCCCTGGCTTTCCCAGTTAAAAATATCAGGTAGCAGAGGTCATATCGGGGGGGATCGCAGTTCCCCCGGGTGAGGTACGGGGGGGCGGGGCACATGACGAAGCCCCGCCCCCTGCCTCCGGCCGCCCCCCTTCTGGCCCTCATTCAGCCAGGAGGAGGCAGGAGAAGAGGGAGGGTAAGTTGCTTCCTCCCTGCCTCTCCCCACCCCTGCCTGCCTGGGGCCAGGGAGGGCCTTCACGGGGCTTCCTTGCACTCCTGCCGGCCTTGCAGGTCCACCGCCGAGCCCCTCCTGGGGCTCGGCAGTGGAGCTGCAAGGCCGCCGCTGGCGGCCAGAACTGTTGGGGGCGGGGTGTGTGGCCTTATGACACACTTCCGGTGATGTCAGGGTGTGTGGCCTTATGACACACTTCCGGTGATGTCAGGGGGTGTGGCATATGCTAATGAGTTATGCTAATGAGTCCCCTTAGCTCTTTTTCTACGAAACGACCCCTGTCAGGTAGTAAGTGTTGTGGCCACTCACTGCATTTCCCCACTGCCAGTCAGAGCAGACAATGTTGACCTTGATAGGCCACTGGTCTGACTGGCTGTAAGGCAGCTCTCTGTGTTCATGTGATTAAGGAGGGAGTTGCCAATCTGGGTACCACCACAGAAAATCTGCTTACACACTGTAAAGAGTCACCTACAGAACAAATATATCCCCATAACTCAAGCAACTGAGCCAAATTGGAAAGTAAAGGCAACAGAACATCTTGCCAATATTTCCAGTCTCAGTCCCTAGCTATCCTCCAGATGGCCACCAGGACATTCCATCAAGGACTTAAAGGTCACCATAGTTCAACAGAAAATTTCAAAACTAAAATCCAATGGGAAGTTGCTGAATTGGAATTTATTATATGTAAATTTGACTCAGTCAGACTTGGATTGAATAGATACTTTGGATGGTTATCTCATTAACAGAAGTAACTGCCTTTCAGGTATTCCATTCAGATTCATCAGTAGAAGGAAGGGGGTCACACCCAGCCTGGATTGCACATTCTACTTTTTTCATGACTTTTGCAATTGCTTTGCATGGAACTTTCTGCATGCTCTCCCCCCTCCCCCTTACCACCTATATATCTCTGGCCAGTTGCTTCATACCCTCCATGCATCTGATGAAGACAGTTGTGTTTCTCCAAAGCTTATGCTACAATAAAGTTTGTTCGTCTCAAAGGCACTACTGGGCTTTTTACTATTTTCCAGATAGCTAGGTAAGTGTAGGGTTTATGGTAAGATTACTCAGTACAATCAAGCCTTCTTTTGTTTATGCCATCAGGGCTGAAGTTTTTTTTCCACTCTGCATGCCTGTGGTGTAAACCTTATTTTATAGATGGAGGAGGCAGGAGTTGAGAATAATTTCATATTCCATATTAATCTGGATTTTTAAAAAGTGATTTGGTGAACAAACCCTTGAGGGCTTGCTGCAGCAGTTAATATGTACTCTGGATGAGGCAAACTGAAGGCACTTTTATGTAAGATCTATATGTAGATCGTAGGAATTTTACAACGTTTAGGGTTGTGCGGTCAAAAAGCATTCCTCTCCTTCGCTGTCACCGAGAGCCTCCATACTACTTCCTAACAGAGGTTGGGTATCTGCTCCTTTAAGGCCTTGACATTCCTGTCCTTTCGGTCCCGCCCCTGTGCTTTCTCCATTGGCTCTGTCGGTCCTTTTGTTTCTCTTTTGAGTAGGGTTTTTTATTTAGACGCCTTATGATTGGTCGAAGTCCTTTGGGTTTAGGGAGCGACGGTTAATTCGTCGTCCGCGAAGAGTAAGCCGAATAACCTTTTCCTTCCCGTCGTTTCCTCCTTTCCCAGAAAATGTGGTAGCAAAGGTGCTTAGAGTTGTAAGTGTGTCCTTATCTGAACTGGCAGCTGGAGACGTCCTGGGGGAGACGGTACCGAAAGGCGCTGTTTTCGGCTACATTGCAAAACGGGTTGTGGAGGACGCTCCCTCGAACGTACGTTCTCCACCCCTTCTTGGACCTGGGACAGAATCTGCAGGATGGCCGGGTCGGAGTCCCGGGAGTGAGCCCGCGAGAGAGAACGGCTTCCCTACCGTGCCGGCGGGCGAAAGTAGCAAAGAGGTCGCGGAGAAGCAGCGCCTCCAGCGGCCGGGGGCGAGGAAGAGATGGTAGGGGGTCCTTTCCGTCCCCTTTTTTGTTGCCCCCCCCCCCGCGCTTGGGGGCATGGCTGTGGTGGGGGGTGCTGGTGGTGATTATAGCCATGGGAATGATTCGTATATCTCCTGACGGGTAGACGGAAGTACTCCACTGGGGTGAGCTCCGAGTTGTTGTCCTCCTCCAGCGCGGAACGCGAGAGGTCTCGTTTCCTTTCCTTTTCGTTTCCCCGAGGCGCTTCCCTCGTTTACCTCTGACAAGCTGCCCCCTCCCCCTTGGTTGGGAGAGAGGTTTTTGCGCCCCCCCTCCCATCGCCACCGAGTCCGGGAGGGGAAAGTAGATTCTAATCTAGATGGGGTGCGTGTGTGTATGAAATATACGTTAAGTGGGTCTGTCCCACACGGTAAAGTGTTCTCCTTTCTCAATATTCGGTTTTATCGTGGTGATCTAGCAGTCCGAAGGGTGGCCCGCATGGCAGTGTCTTTTCTAGAAGCCTTGAGGTGTGCGTCTCATAAGAACATAAGAGAAGCCAGTGTTGGATCAGGCCAGTGGCCCATCCAGTCCAGCACTCTGTCACACAGTGGCCAAATATACCAGGTGCCATCAGGAGGTCCAGCAGTGGGGCCAGAATAGTCTCTGTCCTGGGAAACAAATGTTTTGACATTCCTTTAATAGAACCGTGGGCTGGCGGGGCTGGTGCCTTCCTCCAGCCCGAGGCCCCCCCACTAGCCTAGGCAGGCCTCTTTGGAAGAAAGTGCCTGGCCCTTCCAGCATCGTCTCTTTTTGAATGTGTGCTTGAATTAGCTAGGGCCCCCTCCCTCCCCCCTTTCGGTATTTGTGCTTCTACCCTGTTTCATTGTTTAGTGGCCTGGTAACTTCGAGCAAAATCGCGTTGCTGTTGAGTGCAACTTTTGGTGAAGCCTTAGGTGGATGCGCCAAATTGGTGATTTAAAAAATGAGTGGGTTTTTTGGGGGGAAAGGGGGTTGTGATTTGAATAAACAGAAGACATTTTGAAGGAATAGATGGGCATAAGTTTCTATGATGACATGTTGCCGATGGTGATCTTAACATTATTGTAGCCTGGTATGGTGTCTTCATTGGTTGAAAATCCCAAAGCTCTGAAACTTGGACTCATCCGTCAGGCAATGTTCCCTCTAAGCTGTGGAATCTTGTGAGCAAGAATTCTACTTTGTGAGCTCCTGGCATTAAAGTTGTGAGCAAGCTATTTGGCTACTGCATAAATCAGTTTGCTCCGGAGCCATCCTCCCTGAGCTAAGACAAAAATGTGTGAGCCGGAGGTGAAAAAACTGTGAGCTAGCTCACACTAACTCAGCTTAGAGGGAACATTGCCGTCAGGCATTGTCCACTGCTTGACCTCTGTTTCTGAGCTCACGCTTACCACCTTTCAGCTCATGCAGTGGGTAGGCTTCTTTGACAGCTGTCCACAGCTGAAATGGGACTGTGTTTCCTCTTCCTTTCTTTTTGACACCCGTAACTCAAAGGCTTGTTTCCTTAAGGCAATAAATACTCCCTTGGACGTTTTCTCCTTCTCTCTAAATTAGTTGCAGATTCTATAGTACGATTTAATTAATACTTAATTCCTAAGCAGCATTAGAGGGGAAGAACCAAGAGACCTGACTGATAAATCTTGGAGTGATTAACTAAGTCCTTGGAGTACTAATGTCCTAGCATGACAGGAAGTATGCTTATTGTGACACTTGCATTAAAACGTGCAGCGTGATTAAGCTGTTGACTGTGTAAGTGCTGTTTAAGGATACTACGTGTGTTGTAATTGAGCCCCAGGTATTCATGGCAGGCAAATCCTACGAACATGCTCTTGTGTGGGAGCTGCTCCCACATGTAGACAGGGGAACAGGAAACTGAAAGAATATGGCAAGAAATGAAAGGGGGACAAATTGTTGTAGCTAGATTTTATTACTGTGTGTTCTGGAACACACCGTTTTTGTGCAGTTGCATGCTTTAGCAAACTGTTTATACCTCGGCCACGGGGAGTCCAGTTCCAGGTTATGTCTGAAATAGGTAAGGTCGCTGATGGAAATGCTCCTCAAGGCATGCTGTTTTCATCTTACAGTGCCACAGTTGTTCGATCTGGTTTGAAGTTTAAAGTTCTCATGGCACAAACTGAACAGATGCTTATTGTACTGAGGCTGAAAAACCCCAGGCTGATGAACTTGTCCTCTAGTACAATAAGGAAGCAAAATTTGAGAGGGAGGGTGGGACCATTGGATGCCTTGTTTAGATAAAAGGCCTCTCTCTTCATGAGCCTAGCTGTTTGTTTAGAGTGTTATAATGGCTTAGTTCCATTATATAGCTTCTGAAGTGGTGTTTTCTGTTTCCCTGGGGGAAAGGGTGTTTCTCCCCTACTAGCCTAGGACATATAACTATTAGTTGCATAATTTAAATTCCACCAGACACAGAAATATGAAGAATGAAATAGTCTCCAAAATTTTAAGACTTAAATTGTAATCAACTTTGAAAGTACTAGATTACGTGTCAGTATTTCCACAACCTAATAGTTTGGTCAAGGCATATAGGAACAACGCAATTTCCATGCCATCGTTGAGCTGTGCAAAATGTGAGCTAGTGTTAAGAGAGCAGTCTTGAGCACATACTGCGTGCCTCTTAGCAAATGTGTAAATACCAACAGTGTTCAGCACATCTGTGAATTGGGTTAGGAGTTTACAGGGCAGATTGCATGAATACTAGGCAGGGGCAGGGAATAACTAAAAATTCTTAGTGGGCACTGTGTTTCTCAGGGGGCTTGAAGCAGAAGGTGGGAGGTACCACTTTGGCCACTTTCTTATGGGTACTGACTTTCACACCTGCTCCTCAGTTGTCTCGAGTCTAGGCATCTTTCTTGCTGGGAGCTAGGCACGGTAACCCTAGTTTAAGTGGTGAAAATGCATGGTTGCAATTATTTGATTAGTTCTCAGTTCAGCCTGTTTACAGTTAGAGGCATGAAACTGTACCCTAGTCATGGCAACAGTAGAAGCAAGTGGTATGGGACTGGTGTCCACCACCACCCCTGTCCCCACACTGCTTCTGCTGTCCCCAAACCCTGCTCCTCCCCCTTTATCATACTTGTGCAAAAGTGCAGGTATGGTGGCAGTCATGCTGGGCTCCCTTTGTAGTCTGGAATATCGCCAAGGGCATATGCTAGGACAACGTGGCAATATTCATCCACAGTTGTAGGGACTAGAAACTTTTTTAAAAGGCTGTGGTTCATGGGATTCTGAATTTTAAAAGTTTTTGTGCCATTAAACTGTATGCAGCCCAGGTTGCCCTTTGGTGTGATGAAAGGGAATGGAGAAGTATTTCCCCCGGGGAATATTGCAATGAACATAATTCCTCTGGTGAAATACACAGACAGTGTTAAAAGAGAGACTGCTTCTCAGAGTGCATAAGTAAACTGTGCAAGTTACTGTGCAGTTTGCGGTGGAAAGTCATGAAGGCCAGCTGTCACAGGTATACAAATTTGGTCTGACAAGGGACTTTGTGGTTCGTGCTATTGCCTGATAAATCGGTTTAAGATTTTTCATTTCTACAGGTTTTAATCAATAAATCTGCTTTTCCATATGAATAAAACAAGAGTTGTGGAGAAGAAAGAATACTCTTTGTATGTAGATAATACCCACACATGTGCCAGCAGGCCCCCTTAGGGGCTTTTCTATTGGCTCTGAGAGAGAAGGCCAAATTTTTCTTCGCATATGAAATCTACAGTTTTTGTACATCCCTGCATTTAAAAAATCTCTTTGTCTATTTTTTTTTTTTTATCGATTGCTGAATTGACCTGGAACATAATCTTATACATAATTTTTGTGAAATATAGTTCCTGGACTCTTTACCGATACATACATGAATTTGCGAAACGAAAGTGTTTCAGTCTCATACTTCAGAGGACATGGTTTGGAAAACCAAGATACTTTGGAATTACAAAATTTAAAAATGAAACGTTGAAACAAGTTTTGCTAATTTAGTTTGTGTTGCATGGAAGCCTTTTATTGCTGGTTCTTCTTCCACTGACTACAGTGCAGTCCTGTACAGAGTTAGACACTTCCAAGTCCATTTAACTTAATCAGTTTAGAGTGTAACTGCTCAGGATTGCGTTTTAGAGAGACAACAGTTTTGCCTAAATGGGTTGCCAAGGCTGCATACAAGAAGATATGAGGTATAAGCATATTCCCTTTTTTTTACAGGTTGCCTTAAGCTGCCTTGGTTAAAAGCCATACAAGAGTGGTTTCCTGGCTAGTTTGTTTCACACCGTTTCATTATAAATCTTTTTTAGATAAAGGAAATAGAAAGGAATAGGAGCTGCTTGCTAAGACTGCACAGCACAATCTTCTAATTTGATAGTTACCTTGATTTATTGGGCCATTGGAACAAAAAGGGCTCTCTATGGACAGGGGGAGTAAAAGGACAGGGGGAGTAAAAGGCTTCTAGTACTGGCTCCAGAATCGACAAGAGTTCAGTCAGCACTTGTCTGCACATGCCTAATGGAATTTTTCAAAAACTGTTTCTGCTGTACTCGTGCTGAGGATCAGTGGCTCAGATTCATCACTTGGGTGCCTTAGAGCAATTTATAATTGCAGGTGGCAACCAGTGGATATATTAAGGACAACAGTATTCTAAGTTTAAAAATGTTTAGTTGATTAATCAAGTAAAGGTTGCAGTCCTGTTCATGAACATTAATGTGCAGCTGCCTTTGGTATAGCTTTTAAGTGGAGAGATCAGTTGTTACTAGTCAATTCCCTGTTGAGCGGCAGTGCCTTTTGCCACTTTACAGGGCTGTTCCAATTTGTCTCTTTCCTGAAGTTGGGGTTACTGCTAATGCAGAACTGTAAGTGAAAAATGAGGCCAACTTCTGTCTGTGTTGGTGAGAAGTAATGTGCAAGGAGAAACATGCCCAGTTCGGTACACTTGGATGGGGCCAGTGTAGGCAAGACCCTCAAACTGTGTTGTTCTCTCACCGTGGTAGAATGTTTCAAAATAAGTCCTAGTGCAATTCTGAACAGAGATATACCCCGCTAAACCCATACAAGAGTGTAACTTGGCTTACCGTTGTACTGAGTGTCCCTGGAAATTTCTGCATAGAAAGTTGGATGGGGGTTGGGGTGGGGGGTTGGGGTTAGTGCAAAGCTGCATGTCTTGCTTTCTCTTTGCTTGGAGCGATTCAGTTCTGTTTTAGAGAGCTTTTAGAAAACAGACAGACGTGAGTGTGCATGCTTGTGTATAAATTTGCACTAGTGTGCTGTTGGGTAGGTAGAGATTTAAAGACCATCCATCCCTTTGATCCTGTTTCAAGAGTGGCAGTGACAGCAGCAAACCACATGTTCTGCTTTAGGTTATCAAAGCTAAAACCCTGGGGATATTATGGAGACAGAACATTGCAGAAGGATGAAATTGTGTGCTTAAAAATATTATCAACAGAATTTGTGTGTGCGTGTGTCTTTAACAACTTCCTAAGAACAATGATTTCTTTTTAGAGAATAAGGCAGATCAAATGTCACCTCTCGGATGCTGGTGGGCCAGTACTTTTACCTCTCCTCTGCCCTGTTTATCATCCTCCAGGTTTTTAAAATTTTGCTCTGCTGTCTTAGAGAAAAAGATCTTAGGCATGCACATTCACACAGTCCTGAATTCTTGGATGCCTTATTTATGTGAATGAGTAATAACTTGGTTCATTTTTGCAGCTTTGGGGACTTATAGTTCTGGGAAGAACCTCTGCTTAACCTGAAGGAGAGAAGAAAGGGGAGTTAATTACTTGGCATGAGCTAGTGTAAATTTGAGTAAGTCCTCAAAATTGGCCTGCCACAAAGAATGAACAAAAGATTTGCCCAAGTGAGGATCTAAGAGTTTCACTCTCTGGGCAGCAAGAATGGTTGACTGAGATGCACCCATACTTAGAACCATAGTCCACATGTTACAGTGAATGCATGTAAATCCTGTATGTACATGTGTACATCTGTTTGTAAGAAATAGTCATGAGTGTTTACTTCAAAAATGAAATGGGGGGCCAGTAACTAGAAAAATGTGCAGTTTCAGTCACACGTTCTATTGTACATGCGCTGAATGTAACATGAGAATTACTCAACACACACATAAAGAAAAATATCAAGTGTGTGTAGTACATATATGGTGCATGCGTTCACTGTAACTAATGGGCAGGGCTCATGCATCTAGTGATTCAGTGGTCACTTGTGGAAACCTGTTCCAAAAAGCACAGACTGTTACCATGCCACAAGCTGTGTTTGTCAGTGTGGTAACTGTTAGAAGAAATAGTCTGTATCTCTCACATATAGATTGTTTTCTTACCCCTGTTGATCAGTTTTCCCCTCTTTGTTTATTGAATGTGTGGGGAGTTGAAGGACAAAGCCCTGACTCTGGCGATGGGGGAAGGTGGAAGTTGTTTTGCCTCAGGTGCTGTTCTTTTCACATACCACATATACTGCCCCTGAGCTCTTTGGAGAAAGGGTGGGATAAAAATGCAATACATAAATGGAACGCGAATGGCCTGGAGCAAATTTAAAAGCATGCACTTTAGTAACTTGATTTCTGCAAGTGATGCAGAGAATAATTATCTGTAATGGAAATACCAGAAGACATTACTGTCAGCTATGTTTCAGTTCTGTGGGCCCAGGCAAGCGCTCTTGGTAGCTGCAAAACTAATTCTTAGAGCCTGAAATAGATGAATGGTGAGGCCAGTACATTGTAACTTACATTGAGAGGTGATACTTTGCAGAAGGGGAAACGGTAAAAATGCGGTATAATAGATTCTCTGTACCTGTGTGGTTTTGGCAGGAACTTTGTAAAACACTGTTACTTTTCTTCTTCTTCCACTTCCCTGACTGTTCAACACTTTGTGCTTAATTACCTGGGAAATGGTTGAGGTGGCCTATGAATTGTAATAAGATGTTTGACCAGTTATTGGTTAAAGAGGCAAGAGGGCTACAAAGTTCTACAGTAGCTGAAGCATCCAGACAATCTCCAAGGATAGGATAGGGTTGCCAGCATCCAGGTGGGGCCTGGAGATATCCTGGAATAAAAACTAATCTCCGGAATACAGAGAGAAGTTCCCCTGAAGAAAATGGCTGCTTTGGAGGGTGTTTCCCCGGGCTCCACCCTCAAATGTCCAAGAATGCCCCAACCCTAGGACAGCACCGTATAAAGTGTATTAAAGAAATCAGACTTGGAGGTTATAAGGAGCATGGTTGATAGCTGGGAAGCTTCTGCGTTGAGCAATAGCCGTAATCAGCACACTAAACGTAGGTGGCAATTGAGGGGAAAACATTCTGAACAAGGGCTGTTACTTGGTTATCTAAGAACAGAGCTGCACTTAACTCTCACACTGTCAGCTACGCTGCCATGGGGGTTGGGGAGCTCGGTCTGTGTCTGGTTACTTGCTACTACATTCCTTTCTGTGCTTTTTCTGCTTTGCGCCGAAATGCTTATCTATGCAGATGTGCAGGAGGGAGTTGTATTGTCTGGGTTTTTCCTAGGTGCCGTGGGAGAGTGTTGGTTCTCAGCTTTAGCTACCTAACGGTCTCCAAGCCTTATCCCATGTACGGGAGGGTGCCTAATTGGCCAGTGCTCAATGGGGGGTGCATACGAATACCCTATATCCTATTATGTCCATAGGGCCACCGCCATTCTTAACAGTGCTTATGTTACTGCATCTATAGCTCTGCAATAAAAGTATTACCGTTCCTGAATGTATGTACTTCATTGTTGGCTGTGGGTTCTGACACACATGTACAATAAACTCGACTGATCACTGATGTGGATCCCAGAACAATTGTTACAGTAGTAGTACAGGATTCAATGAGGGCATTGTGTATCTGAGGATTAATACAAGAGGGCTGCCTGGTTTTAGTTTCAGTCTCTTTTAGTGTAAGAGGGGCTGAGGTACATCTTGTTTTCCCCTTCGGTATCTGTTGCCTGATCGTGCTGCTTTTTCCGTCTCTTCCAGGATGGTGGCAGGATGGCATCAATGGCAACGTTATTCACAAATGACAACACCGCCTCTCTGTCACCCTCCACCATGTTAGTAACTGCATTGGACAATGTGACTTCTGCACCCTTGACAACTGTACAGTTTTTTAATGACACCAACATTACTGTCCCACACAAGTGTTTGTTATTGTTGTATGAAGATATCGGAACATCCAGGTAAGACACAGCTACATAGAAGTGCCTTTTTCTTCCTCGTAGGAATTCCAGGTCTCTGTATGGTCAGAGCTGGGACAAATGCATTTTAGAAAAACAATTCAGTTTTTTTTCTTCCCCCTTTAGGGTCCGTTACTGGGATCTTTTGCTGCTGGTTCCCAATGTGCTTTTCTTTGCATTTCTCCTCTGGAAGCTGCCCTCTGCCAGGGCTAAAATCCATGCCACATCCAGTCCAATCTTCACTACCTTCTACATACTAGTGAGTATGTTCTTTGTGTGGTATATATTGGCACACTCATTGAGCACTTGTCAGGATGTTGAAGAAATCCTGTGACATGTTAGATTTTCTGAAACCTTTGGTTTGGTTTTGCATAGCAAAACTTGACCTGACCTAGTGGTTCTCCCAGGCAAACTTTTCTGTCGAGAAGCCTTTTGGGGTCTCAGTGATCCTCTAAGCAGCTTGATACTTGGTGGGCCTTCCTCACTGGTGAATTTTTAAATGCTTACTTCTGAATCCAGATGAAATTGGTTCTAGTCCCTTGGGGGCCAAAGTGGTGCAACCATCAGGCCTTAGATAGCTTTAAAAACTGAGGAGTACACTGCCGGGGGAGAGCTCCTCTGGCCAAGCAACAGGAGTCCCCTCCCTCTGTGTGGCCTAACCTAACCAACTCCTATGCCAATCAGTAGTTACTCATCATCATTGCCTACCTCATCGATACCCTGTTAGCGACAGTGTTTCACTGTGGGATGGTCAGGAACTTTTCCCCCTTGGTATAACCTCAGATCTTGTGCTTCGCTGTCTGGGTCTTTGACCCATTTCCTGAGAAAGCCAGGTACCATACTTCAGGAATCCCTGTTTTATGAAATGTCACACTTACCAAACAGAGGACAGTGGCTGGCTCTATGCTGTATAGATTTTGGCTCTTGTCTGTAGCCATTGACACTCCTTGAATTTTATAAAGAGAAGCAGTCTTAGATTTAAAGATGGTCAGTAAGCTTGTCTTGCTTTATTTATGCCTCTTGCTGCAAAATAGTAGGTCACCGACCACTGGGGCTAGTGTGGAGTGCAGAGTTAGCGTGGCTTCACTTTGTAGTATGAAAAATGCTCTTAGCAGCACAAAAGCTACTGCTGTTTTTCAGAAGCCTTATCTTGGAAAGGAAGTAGATCTCCCCCCACCCCCACCCCCACCCCCCAATGCTGCGTTAGAGGTAAAAACAGGATGTACGGAGAGAGCAGTTGTAGGACTACTATAAGAGAGGATATCCACGAATGACCTCTTTGCCCAGTTGAAAACCCTCATTGGCAGTTTCTAGACAGGATAAGGAGGGCTCTCTGGATGGTGTCAAAGCCCTGTCTTTGTTTCTGAAACCTTTGCTTAGCACTGTTAAATGCAGCAGCTGCCCAGTTACGCGTTGTAGAAGTGGGTTTACAAGTGGCCCCAGCTCTTTACTGCATCAGTACATGGGGTTGCGGTGGCTCAAGTGGTTAAGACGCTGAACCTGCAGGCTGTGGAAGTTCAGCAGTTCGAGACCCGGGTGCCGCAAGACGGAGTGAGCTCCCGTCTCTAGTTCCAGCTCCTGCCAACCTAGCAGTTCGAAAGCAAGAAATTGCAAGTAGATAAATAGGTACCACTTCAGTGGGAAGGTAACAGCGTTCCGTGCGCCTTGGTGTTTAGTCATGCTGGCCACATGACCACGGAAATGTCTTCGGACAGCGCTGGCTCTTCGGCTTTGAAACGGAGATGAGCACCGCAACCCTAGAGTCGGATTCGACTGGCTTTCGAGCAAGGGAACCTTTACCTTTACATGGGGTTACTGTACTCAGTTGTATAGAGATCTACTAGGCAGAGCTCACCTCTGAAGAGAAAGAAATTCTGTTTGTGTGCCACAGGATGGATACACATGTGACCACTGAAAAAGGGAGGCTTTGAATATATTCCCGTTTTAAAATGTCACATGTAGAGCTCTGTAGACCATATCCTTAAAACAAATTCTGTGCCGAAGTAATGTAGATTATTTCTCACAACTTATTTATTCCTTTGTATTTATTTAAGAAAACGTTTATGCCACCTATTGAAGTGGCTTAGAAATAAAAACAGCATAAATCTTATATAGAAAGACAAACCAGGGACATAAAAACAGCATCCATAAAACTGACCTCAGATCAGCAGCAGACCATAAAACAGCTAAAAAAACAAAACCCCTCAATTAGAAACCTGAGTAAAAAAGGGATATTTTAACCTGGTGCCTAAAAGACAGTATGGTAGGTGCCAGATGTGCCTCAGGGGAGGGGGCATTCCAAAGGTAAGGTGCCACCATAGAAAATGCCCACTCTGTTGCTGCTGCTCACCTCACCCTCCAGGCAGGGGCGAAGACAGCAGGGCTTGAGAGGCAGATCTTAACTGGCAGGCTGGATAGTAGGGGGTGGGGACTGTCTTTCAGATGCCCTGGCCCCTAGGCATTTAGGGTCGTAACCTTGTTCTGCTCTTGAAAGTTACTGAAAAGAACAGGAACCTTTTGTAAGGCAAATAAGACCTGTTACCTCACTACTTGAAGCTAGTGCTTCGTGCCTGGTTCCAGGTTTTGAGGGCCCCTGGGCAGAGAGTGCTCGGGGGTCCCCCCTGTTCGGGCCCATAACCAGGACTCCCACTCACATTTCCCTTCTTACCTCCACTCATGATGAACCCCCCCCACCTGCTTTTACGTTCTTTCCCTGTCTACTCACAACCTTTCCTACCACACTTGCTCATGGCCACATGCATGCCCTTTCCTCAGTGGCACTGGACAGTGCATGCAGCTAAGAGTGCCACTGCTCTGGCTGTCAGGAGCACTGCTTGGCATCACCTTATATGCTCCTCCTGGGTGCTGGGCAGCCAAACCCCCAGAAGGTAGAATACTTGAGAGTGGATGGGGGAAGACAATACAGGTGGGTGGCAAAGGAGGTGGGCATGTGGGGGTTGGTGGCGCCAGGCCCTGCCAGAACCCCCGGGCCCTGGCGGATGCCTCATTTCAGAGTATGCTGGTGCCAGCCCAGGTCAGAAGTGCACGACATGACCCGTACTGTCCTGGTTAAAACTGATGCGTGAAAAATATGTTAGGAAATGCTGCCTGCCAGTAGTCGAAACAAAGCTCTTAAAGTTTTTATTGCACATTCACACATTATTGCACTTCAGTTTGTGTCTAGGTATGGAGTTGGCATATGTGGCATGTGGTATATTGAACCACATTACGGTACTACTTGTAAGCTATCCAAAACAGTGGCCTCAACCGTAAAGAGCTATGAGGGTTGTGAGCCCTGATATGTAATGAGGAACTTCACCCGTGTGAAGACTTACACTTACTCAAAGGGAATGTAAGAACAGGGCGTGCCTTTCTCTCTAGCACTGAAAGAGGGGGTAAGAGCTGAATGAATACCTTTCTTCTCTCTATAAAGCATCTGCTAAAGTGGAAGTCATAAGCAGAAGTCATAAACATTCTTTCCAATTTATGTAGCGACTTAGCTTGTCACTCAGAGGCAGTTTTTGATCTGAAGTCTTCTGAGCTGATCTCCTGAGAGTTCCCCCCCCTTCCTTTCTTCCCTGCCTTCCCAAACAACTGAGTAGTGGAGCTACTCCGGATTTGAGGCTCCTTGATTGTTGTCATGTGGTGTGTGCCTCGATTTCAATAGACTAAGGACCAGTTACAGTGGATGGGCACCTATGGGATACCTGACAGCAATGACGCTAAATATCTAGTCTGCAGCTGAGCGTGGTCTTCCGTCATTCCCTGTGTTTTGTCTTCTAGGTGTTTGTGGTGGCTGTGGTTGGGATCGCTCGGGCTGTTGTCTCCATGACGGTCAGCGCCTCGACGGCTGCGACAGTTACTGACAAGGTGAATGGAGCTCTGAAGCCAGAGGCGAGGGCGGAACTGCTGCCGGCTCCATCTTTTCCTGTGGCCTTGCCACGCTTTTCTTGGCATCCTGTTTGTGGCCGTCCATTATGATAGTGCCTGTTGCAGCGTGGCCTGTTGCATGTGCTTGACTACCTGCAGTGCTCATTTCTGACCTGATTAACTTCAAGAGACTTCACTTTGTGATTTTTCTTTTTTTTTTTGCAAGTCATGCTTTGGGAAACCTATATGCAGCATCAAGGTCTGTGGTGAAGATTAGGTGGCAGAAAAGCTGCACAGTTGTTCACTGTGGCACCGACAAGATGGTTTTTAGAGCCACGACGAGTGTATTCCATCAGCTAGCTCAAGGCTACTTTTCATGTTGCCTTCCTGTCTTGAGAGGCTGTTCCTGCAAGTGCTCTGGGCTAGACTGAAAAGGGGAACCTGTGTGTGTGGCTGGGTTCTACTGTAGAGTGATGTCTCTGGTAAGGACCGGAATTCAAAGTGGTATTACGCAGTGGAAGTAAGCAAAGTGCTGTGGATAGCTTCAAGGGTCCGTATTGGCAAATCATGGCGGGTAGTTCTTGCCATCTGTAATCTTTCAAAGCAAAGCAGTTTTGGGTTGAACAGGAGCAAAGGTGGAAATGGGATCGCTGCAACATTGGGAAGCAGTTGCTTCTATTGTGTTCTCCTTGCTTGGTGTGTTCTGTCTGTGCTTACAGGGCCAAGTATTTATTCCTGTGCAAACTGGGCTGAGGGTGCTCTGTGCTTGAAAACAATTTTCAGAATTATGATCAAAGGAATCCTGATTCTGTGCCAACAAATGGGATTCTGGGATGTGGAAGTCCGCTGGACCAGCATAACTTTTTCCCTGGCTAGCCTTTGGAAAGGTCAAGCAGCTATGCAAGGCACTGAAGCTCTACCTGCATACTTTTGAGAATCCCCTGTTTTCTCTTGCACGTGCGCTACTCCTCCTCCTCATTCTTGCAGCTGTGCCAGGCACTGTTTTCACACTTGCAAGTTGACCTCTGAAGGAATATGGACTTGTTTATAAAAAAAAATAACCCGCGACTGAGAAGATTTTGTATATCATATCAGATAGAATTGCAGAATACACAACACTTTGTGTAGCCAGTTACGGAAGTGTGTGAGAGTGTTTATGCATTTAACCAATGAAGAAAATGTTTGGAAGGGTTTCTTCTGTCTGCAGAGTTTCCTCAGGAGATGAAAGGTGAACTGTCCATGCGCAAGCTTCCCCTTAAGTCCTGTTCCTGACCATGCATCTTTTGCATTGTCTTCTCTAGATCCTATGGGAAATCACAAGATTCTTCCTTCTGGCCATTGAGCTGAGCATGGTGATCCTTGGCCTGGCATTTGGTAAGATTTCCTATGCAGTGCTTCTTGGTGCACTTCCTTGGCAAGATAGGTGGAAGCGGATAAACAAAAGAGCCAGTCCTGCTGACCACACAGAGGCCTTCAGCGTGTAAAGCCCAGGCTGCTGGGGGGAAAGCCCTTGCTTCTTTTTCGCCTCTGTTGCTCTGAATCTGCTTTCTATGTGCAGATAGTTGTAAGACTTTTGCTACATCTGTCAGGGTGGAGAGAGGACATTTGTGTACACACACATATTTCTCCCCCCGCCCTGCCCCGAAAGGCACATCAGTTGTCTGGCTGTTGCAGAGGACCCAGAAGCATTTCCTGGAGGCAACTTTTCTGTTTTTGGGGTGGGGGAATCGTTTTCCCAGCATTCAAACAGGAGAGTCAAATGAGACAAATTAGTTTTATTGTATTACTAGATACTGAATGCAGGTCCACTGTACAACTCAAAATGTGGGAAAGCTCGTGCAGCCTTCTTTTTAAAATGGCAAGCACCAGCATGTGGTCTCTCTGTCTCTGAGCCATGCTTACCCATGTTATGAATCTCTTCCTCCCTCCTCCCATTTAATTTTTTTACAGGCTTTGTCCTTTCTTCCTTCCTTCTCTCCAGTGTTTTAGCACTTCCTCTGTTCGTAATTGGAAGCCGCAGACACATGTCTACCCCGTAGTTGTGCCTTACCCCGTACATTGCTTGGGGGGGGGGTATTGTGTGGCCAGCATTGGATTGGGCTCAGTGTAAATGCAGTACTTATATCAGGAAATGCCCAAACTCTCTTAGCATCTGACATTCAAACTCATTCTGCATAATCAGAAAGTCGCACAAATACGTTATTTTAGAGGTGAATAGACTGATGTATAGTGCATGTTAGTTTAATTGTGGATGTGTTTTTAACCTTTTCCTTTTGGCACAGAATTACAGGACCATGGCAACCTTGTGTCCAAGTCAGCACTTAGTCTCAGGAATGTCTAGTAGACAGTCTGTCCTGCTATAGATCCATGCATATGGAGCATGGGATGATGAGGTTTTTTCTCTCTGTTTGTCTCCATCCCTGCAGCCCCTTCCAGCTTCCATGAAGTCATTCCCAAGGTTGTGGAACCTGTGCAGAGTAATAACCAGGGACCGGCATGAGGCGGGACAAGGGAGGGGTGGACTTGTTCCTCCTTCCTCTTCTGCAACTGCAGGTCCCTGAGGAAAGGTGTCCTTTTCAGCCCTTTGGCTTTCCTCACTCCAGTCCACTGACCTGTGCAGCGGGTCCTCTACAGGGGGTCCTGTGACTCCAGGAATGATTTTTCCCGGGGTCAGAATGGGCTAGTGGAATGGGGACCAGAAAAAGTGTGTGCCTTCTGTGCCTGGGTGGGTGGATCCACAACCCTGACATGGTTGCACCACTGGTTTTCCTGATCTATGTAGATTAGGGTGGGGAAATGGAAAATGCAGTGTCAGTACATAGAGGGACTTGACAGTGGACTGCTGCATCAGGGGGAGGCCCTGTGTTCCTTGTACCACCTGGGCGTTCTTTCCCCAGTGCCTGCCAGTGACTCTTTAGGAATAGTAAAGGGCAAGCTCTGCTAGGTGTGTAGCCTGCTTGGCAGAAGTTCCATCTGGAGCATTTGGCCTCTTCTGCTCATGAAGCTCCTGTGGGCATAGGACAGGGAATGTAGGCTTACTGGAAGAAGAAGAGAAGAGATTGGATTTATACTCCGCCCTTCACTCAGAGTCTCAGAGCAGCTTGCAGACTCCTTTCCCTTCCCCTCCTCTCCCCACAACAGACACCCTGTGAGGTAGGTGGGGCTGAGAGAGCTCTTTCCAGAACTCCTTTAGAGAACAGCTCTTGACAGAACTATGGCTTGCCCAAGGTCATCCAGCCAGGTGCAAGTGGAGGAGTGGGGGAATCAAACCCGGTTCTCCCAGATTAGAGTCAGCGCACTTAACCACTACACCAAACTGGCTCTCCAGGTAATTGCATGCTCTCCAGGGTTGGAGTGACGTGAGGAGAGACTTTCTTGGGGGCTTTTTGAATATGTAGAGTATATCTGTATAGTTTCTTAGCTGCAAAGATCAGCCCTTTCCCAGGTTGATGTAGACGGATAAACGATGCCTTGAATTACAAGGTACTGTGGTAGTAATAGGGGAGACTCAGTCCAAGTTCTGGGAGCTTGGTCGCTGCTGCCAGATGTGATAGGAAGTCACCAAAGCAACATAACAGAGAAGAAGAAGAGTTGGTTTTTTATACCCCACTGTTCACTACCCGAAGGAGTCTCGGAGCGGCTTATAATCGCCTTCCCTTCCTCTCCCCTCAACAGACACCCTGTGAGGCTGGTGGGGCTGAGAGAGCTCTGAGAGAGCTGTGACTGGCCCGAGGTCACCCAGCTGGCTTCATGTGGAGGAGTGGGGAATCAAACCTGGTTCTCCAGATAGAGTCCTGCCACTCTTCACCACCACACCACTCTGGCGCTCTCTTGCACGCACTCTCCCTTTTTTATCCCACCTTCTTCCAAGAAGCTCAGGGCAGAGTACACAATTCTTCCCTTCTCTATTTTATCCACGCAATAATCCTGTGGGGCAGATTAAATTGGAAGAGAGTGTGGCTGGCCCAAGGTTACCCCAGTGAACTTCATAGCTGAGTGGGGATTTAAGCCCAAGTCTCCCTAGTCCTCCTATTCTGACAACACCAGTGGCTTGTCTGAAGAAGAGTCTTCTGTTCTCTGTCCGAGGGGTCCATCTAATCCAGCATCCGTTTTCCAATGGCGGCCAGCTGGATGCTTCTCGGAAGGCCACAAGCTGGGCAAGAGGGCAACCCTCTCTTCGCCCCCCCCCGGCTAATAGTGTTCATGAGCCACATAATAAAAAGGCCTGGTTTGATTGGGTTCAGTGGGAAGGGGGGAAATCAGTCTTTGTTTTCTAAGCTTGAAGCAGTGCAGCTCCACATACAGTGACTTGACAGTGAGGCTGGCTTTTGGAGTGAAATGTATGTGAACTCTGAAACAGTGGGAGGAAGAGGCACGCACAGCTCTTAATTGTCCATTATCTGATGCAAGCCTAATATGCTCAAGCATGCCAGGGGAGTGATTCACGATGTGCTTGTTGTTAATTCAGGTCACTTGGAGAGCAAATCCAGTGTCAAGCGTGTGTTAGCCATCACCACGGTGCTGTCGCTGGCCTACTCGGTCACTCAGGTAAGCATGGGAGATGTGTGACGCCAAAGCACCTGATTGGTGCACTCAAGAGAGGCGGCCTCTTTGATTTAAGGTCTCTTTGCTTTAAGAGGGTAGCTTGTTGTGGAACAGAGAGAAGGGAAAGGCACAGCTTGAGGTGTGTCTTGTCCATCCTTGCTAGGGCAGGGCAGGGCATTTATACAGTGCAAAGCAGGCTGATTGCTGCTGATGCCCCCTGGATGGAAAAGGGTTCAGTATATAACTCTGGTCCTGAACAACAAATGTCCTCCTGCTTTAGACATGCTTTTCTTTTCTGTAGCACCTGCATCCAGCATCGCTATTGGCTGGTGCAGCATCAGTATTAACAGCAATGTTGGCACTATCCAGGTGTCTGAAAGAGACACAGTGAGCTGCAACCTGATAGGAAGAGAAATTCCTGTTGAAGATGAAATGGCAGAATTCTTGCTTCATCAGTGCTGCAAATCCCAGCGACGGTGCTACGTTCCCGTCATACACATGAAGCTCCTTTATACTGAATCAGACCCTAGGCCCACCGATGACAGATTTGTCTACTCAGACTGGCAGCAGCTCTCCAGGGTCTCAAGCAGAAGTCTTTCACATCACCTGCTGTTTGGTCCTTTTAACTGGAGGTGCAGGAGATTGAACCTGGGACCTTTTGCAGGCGAAGCAGAGGCCCTTGCATTGAGCCACAGTCCCTCCCTCCTTCCCTACCCAGCAACTAATTCTAGTGCCAAAGTCCCCTTCCCTCCAGTTTCAGCAATGAGTAGCTTTCATGTGTTTCAACATTTCTGAGTCGTCTGGGGAGATCTTGTTAATTTAGTGGAAAGAGCTGGCTTCCAATGAGGGCAAATGCCTCTTTCGCAGTCTCTTATGCATAAAGAGGTAATTTTTGTGTGTACGTGTGTGTCTTAATAGATCATATTCTAATAACGTCCCTTCCCTGCACAAACGCACTTGCATTGTTCTGTGCTAATCCTTCAGGGAACACTGGAAATCCTGTACCCAGATGCCAGACTCTCAGCAGAAGACTTCAATATCTATGGCCATGGTGGGCGGCACTTCTGGCTTGCAAGCTCCTGTTTCTTCTTTCTGGTAAGGTCAAGAAGTTTTGTCCTTCGTGAACAACGTGGGAGAACAGGAAGGTTCTTCTCCTTAATAATTTCTCGTCGTCTTCACTTAACTTCACTTCCCAACATCTTCTAAACACATCAACAGTATCCCAAGGTGGTAAACCAGAGTCTTTTTAAAAAATTATTCTTGACCTGAATCTCCATAATCTTTGCCAGCCTTCCTGGCTCCGATCGTTTTCTGGGAGTTGATCTGCTGTAGGAAAAAAGGATGATGAGTTAAGGCAGGGTTCTCCAACAGGGTGCCCGTGGGTCCCATGGTGCCTGCCAACACCTTCTCTGGCACCCGCCAAGTGTTTGTAGGAAGTGGGTGGGGCCAGGTAGGGCTTTTGCCCAGCAAGCTTTCTGATTTGACTATTAGAGATTTGGTTGCCTGTGCAGATTTTTAAAGAAGTGTTGCTTTGGCAGCAGGTGCCACCACGGCACAAGGATCTACACTGTGTTACTGAAGTTAAGCTGTGGTGATCACTTTGTGGCTGGCTCCGCCTCCTGTGGCATCCATTTTGTGGCGTCCATTTTGTTGCTGCACCCACTGTAGCATGTCAGAATTCCAAATGTACATGCGGGCTCAAAAAGGTTGGGTACCCCTGAGTTAAGTAGGGCTACCAAGTACTTACCGCGAATCAGCGGGGGACGTATAGTTCTTGGCGGGAACATTCCTGTGGGGAAAACACAGGCGCTGCACTATCCTGTCACCCAGACATGATGTGGGCATGTAGCCGGGCGACGCTCTGGCAATGGGGCTGGAAACTCGATGGTACCATCGAGTTTTCAGCCCCATTGCCAGAGCGTCGCCCGGCTACGTGCCCAGCATGCTTACGTCACGTCTGGGCGACAGGATAGTGTGACGCGGCCGTGTTACATGCAAGAATGTTCCGGCGGGGAAGCATGTGTCCCCCGCTGATTCATAGGCAGGTACTTGGTAACCCTAGAGTTAAGGTTAGCTGTGGGATCCCAACTCTATTGGAATACCATTTCCTGATACCCCTGTACTAAAAGAATCTTTAAAGTTTTATTTTGCAAAACGTCAGGTGCTTTTATAGCATTCGTTTACCCCGCCCTGAGCTGGCCTTGCTGGGAGGGCAGGGTAAAAATCTAATAAATTTATAGTTGGCTAATCTTATTGTGCCCTATAAATTTATGCAACATATGAGAGTTGTATTTACAGTTGTAACAACTCAGCGGTATATATTGTATCACACTTTTAAATTCTGGATTAACTTTTATTGTAGTTTTTCCTCCTGAATCTACTCACTGTCAGTTGCGTAGGAGATTTGGAATAAGCATACATCAGAGGATTTTTTTTAAAAAAATCTCCTTAACTATACTAATGGTGGGTACTAGCAAAGCATTATAGCAAGGCTTAATTTGAATTGGGTCACAGCCACCCTGTGCTTCCATTCCATTGATCAACACAGTGGGGTATGCGTGTGGGGAGGGGGAACAGAGGAGTGCAGTATATGGAGAATACTTTTATTCCATCACAGAGATACCCTTGCATGAGATGGAATCATGTTGGGATATATTTACAAGTTACCAACGCTTTCAGTAAGTATAGAGTTAACTGATGTTTGCATGCAAATAGGATATTGCCTAGCTTCGCTGTAACCAGTTAGAAGCATAGAGATAAATTAGCCCGGGAAAAGTGTGGGTGGTAGCTAGTCTAATGAAGTGATCTGTAACCTTGCTATTGGCTGTCAATGGCTTGATTAGCAGAAATACTTTGATCATGTATGCATCTGTTTGCAACTTTTATTATAGGTCTTCCACTTTGTAAGCAAGAAGAAGCTGTTAAGCTGTTTGCCTTTTAACTGTGAACATGTAATCTGTTTAGGTCAAACAGAAACATTTGTTTTTCTCCAAAATGTAATTCCCTCCCTCATTAGCTCTAGATAAAGCATTTTTCTCTCCTAAGCAACACACCGGAGTCGGCTCTTGTTTATTTACGCTGCTAATTAATTTAGAAAACCTTAATCAACAGATCAGGACTAAGAAACTTCTGAGCACTTTCTAGCCCGAGCACCTCAGTATCTGTGCCAAAATGCTGTGCTTGATTTCCAAACATGGGAACTTGGAACACTTTCAGTTTTGCTTACTACAGACTAGCGTATAATCAGCTGTGCCTATCCACCCCCCACCCCCCGTTAACTGTTGCCTTTCCCCCCCAATAGGTTTATTCATTGGTGGTGATTCTTCCAAAAACTCCTTTGAAGGACCGTATTTCACTACCATGTAAGTGATGAGCCTCTCTTCAAAGTAGTGTGGGGTTTTTTGTTTAGCTTTGCAGATATTAAAATGGAGACTTTCTCTATGTGGCAGTGTCAGGCTGCTCTGTTTTACAGACAAACCCCATACACCTGTTCCTTAAAGGCCTGGAGAGGCGGCTGTGATAGTTTCAGGGCTATCATTCTCTGGTCAAGAAGGAGCTCTCTTTGGTCTGGGACATGATGGGTGTAGCAATTAACAGGCTGTGCAGCCAGCCATCTGCTCGTCTCAGGGCAAGCGTTTCCATCAACGTCTTTCTTCTGCGCACAAGCTGAAGCCATGTTTGTAATAAGTCTTCTTCAGTGTTCAAAAGTGATTTGTCCGCCAGAGAGGCGATACACTATGCTGACTTTGGCCTCTGTGTCTTTCTCTGTTTTTACAGCAAGGAAGAGTTTCTACATCTATGCTGGAATTCTTGCTGTGTTGAACCTGGTGCAGGGCCTGGGCAGTGCTCTACTCTGTGCGGGCATCATAGAAGGATTATGGTATGTGCTTAGAGGACAGATTAAACCTTTATACTCCTGCTCTGCTTACTGCAAATGAGCCCAGTTGAGTAGCAAGCCCAGTCGCTGCAAACTCATTTATCCCAGATCAACTTTCTGAGAAGCAGCAGACATTACTTTTTCCCCGCCAAAACTTGGTAGGGGCAGGCTACAGTGGGCTCTACCCGTTTGCCCGGCTCTCTGTGCCTCTCATCACTGTGCCACGCCAAGCCACACATCTTTTTGCTCCCTTACTTGGGATCCATGGTTTATCTTTCTTCAGCAATCCCTGCCCTATTCCTTCATCCTTCTGAAGGGAGTAACAGTTTCTAATAACGAATGGGTATGTGTGTGTGATGATCATTCTGGCCAGTCTTCTCCTTTGTAGGCATAATTCCTCGCCCATTCTTCCCTTCTGAACTCTTTGTAGAGAGATGGGGATAGTT